AATAGTTGCGGTGGCTCATGTTGTAATCCCAGAGACTCAAGAAGCTGAGGCAGAAGGATTGCAAGTTGGAGGCCAGCCTCAGCAACTTAGCAAGTCCCTAAGCCACTAAGTAAGACCCTGTCTAAAAAAAAAAATAAAGAGGGCTGGGGATGTGGCTCAGTGGATAAGCACCCTGGTTCAATCCACAGTGTAAATAAAACAAAACAACAACAACAAAAGAACAACCATAAAGCAAATAGTTTGCTTCTTCCGTAACATCACATTGGAGGACTGGGCCAGTGTGGTCTGGGCTGCCTTGGTGGACCTGTAAGACTCAGCTGTTTTTCATGTGTGTGAGTCCCCCTTGTAGGAATATTGCCACAGTTGCACATGTTTCTCTGACTGGTGTTGGCTGTTTCCGGGCTGCGATGGACTTGGGCTCTTGTTCCTAGTCTGGCGTGAGTCCAGGTCACCCCCCACAGTAGCGAGCAGACCCCACCACCATTCCTCCTCAGCATCCTTACCATCCCCTGCTCCCCTGCCCGCCCCCATGGTGCCTCCTTACTGCAGGGAGGCCCCTAGCTCCTCTGCCGGGCTCCTGTTCTCCAGATCTCAGCTGCAGGATTGCTGGTGGTGAGACCTTGCCATTGTCCCCCACACTGACTCCCCCTGCCCTCTCAGCATCTGAGCCCATGATGACTGTCCTCCCCAGGGAGGCTGACCCCAAGGGGGTAGGGACGTATCTACCATGTTCCCCGTTGTGCTCCCACCCCCAGGACAGTGCTCAGCAGAGAGTCGTTGTTCAACAGACACTCAGCTGACCAGTGAGGCGGGCTGAGAAGAGCACACCGAAGGACTCTGGTGCATAATTGGCCAAAGTCCATCCATGCACTGAGGGGGTCGGTCCATGCTCACAGCGGGTGTCCTCCTGGACTCCCTACCACCCTGGCTCACAGATCTGAGCAGCTATCTTGGGCCTCAGAGCCTGAGCATTTGGGGCTCATGGCCAGGCCAGTGGTGAGATGGAAATGGAAAGCAGGAGCCTGTCCTTCCACTATACATCCCACCAAAACCTTGCTGCTTCTTTCTTATGGTTTTTAATTTTGTAGATTTTTTTTTGTACTGGGGATTGAACCCCGGGGTGCATAACCACTGAGCCACATTCCCAGTCCTCTTATTTTTTCTTGTGAGACAAAGTCTCACTAAGTTGCTGAACCTGGCTTTGAACTCGAAATTCTCCTGCCTCAGCCTCCCGAGCTGCTGGGATTATAGGCATGTGCCACTGCACTTGGCAAATTTTGTAGAAAATTTTAAAAGTCAAAATAGTTGAAGGGACAATAGATGAATGGATAAAAAAAATGTGGCATTTATACACTATGGAGTATTACTCTGCATTAAAAAATGACAAAATYATAGAATTTGGAGGGAAATGGATGGCATTAGAGCAGATTATGCTAAATGAAGCTAGTCAATCTTTAAAAAACAAATACCAAATGACTCCTTTGATATAAGGGGTGTAAACAAGGACAGGGTAGGGACGAAGAGCTTGAGAAGAATATTTACAGTAAACAGGGATGAGAGGTGGGAGGGAAAGGGAGTGAGAAGGGAAATTGCATGGAAATGGAAGGTGATCCTCAGGGTTATACAAAATGTCATATAAGAGGTAAGGAGGGGTAAGTCAAGAGAATACAAATGGAAGACATGATTTACAGTAGAAGGGGTAGAGAGAGAAAAGGGGAGGGGAGGGGAGGGGAGGGGAGGGGGGATAGTAGACAATAGGACAGACAGCAGAATACATCAGACACTAGAAAGGCAATATGTCAATCAATGGAAGGGTAACTGATGTGATACAGCAATTTGTATACGGGGTAAAAGCGGGAGTTCATAATCCACTTGAATCAAACCGTGTAATATGATGTATTAAGAACTATGTAATGTTATGAACGACCAATAAAAAAAAAAAATAGTTGAAGGGAAATTGAGGATCAGTAATCCACACCTCACATTTGAATGAGAGTGACAACTTGCCGGGTGTTCGGGGTAGGTGGCCTTCTGTGGGTTTGTGACCTGGTTTCATAGTGAGAGATTTGGAGAAATGTGACCCAGAGTTTTGGCAAATGTGCTTTTCCAGACGCAAACTCCATGTTCATGTCCTCCGACGTGTCTACCTGCTTCCGCGGCAGCTGGGGAAGCAGAACTTGGATGGAAGGAAACACTTCTTCCAGAATCTTTCCATGGTGGGAGATGCTGGCCTGTCCTTAGCTAAAGCAGCCTGAAGAAATGGGAGTAGGTGGCAAATTTCCTGCCCTGGAAGGGCCTGGCTCCCCCGGCTTTGTGACAGGTGTTCCCAGGACAGGGACTATTACTGCCTGCTATTGTGGTCCATGCTCAGGATGCTGGATCAGTTAGGGCAAGAGATTCAGCCACTGTAATGGGCCCTGCAGCGATTGGCTGGAAAACCAAGGAGTGACTCTCTTCCTGCAGTGTCTGGGTCGGTGGGGGTGGGGGGGGGGAGGGTGCCAGGAACACCTGCTCTTCTTCATGAGGCCCCTCAGGCCACGCCACCTGTGATACTGCCTGGGAGGATGGGACAGAGTTAGGCAGCCAGCCAGCCCTGCTCCTATTCTGGTCATTGCATCCTGACCTCATGAAGGCTTTATGTGGACATCTTGTTCAGGAGGTTCTGTGACCATCCCAGGCTCACAGGAGGAAACTGAGGCTGCAGAGGTAAGATGGATCACCAAGATGTGTGGCAGAGTCTCGGGACTCAAGCACGGGTCTTCTGGTTCCAAGGTCCCACTCAGCTCACTCCTGGGACTCCGAGCCCTGGTGGAGACAGACAGGTAGCCCAGGGTGGGGATCCCCAGGCCCATGGACACCCTCCCATTCCTTGTCCACTCTAGCAGGACACACAGGGCTGCTACAGTCACAGGGCTGAGAGTGGGCTGAGGCTGGGGAGCTGTCTGCTGCTGGGATATGTGGAGGGCGTGGGTGGGCAGGGGGTCACTGCAGGGAGGTGAGGGGCCAGCAGAGTGGTGACTTGTAACTCTCTTTAATCCTGTGGTTTTGCATGGAGAGACCCTTCAGTGTCCTGGGAATTGGGGGCAGCTCAGAGTCTGCAATGACCTGGCCTTTCACTGCCCCAGGACCCACACAATGTCCCCCCTAGGCCCTACCTGGGCAGCCAAGCTCAAGCCACAGCCATATTTGGGTGAACTTGGCCGCAAAGGTGAGTGTGTGTGTGGGGGTGGGTGGCGGTGGTTTGGACTCCCCTGCAGCCTCATGTCCTCTGTGCAGCAGGAGGGAACCAAGCCCTGAGGCAAGCCCTTTTGCCTCATCTCATGGCTTTTGACAAGGACTCGCCAATATACAAATTAAAAAATGAATGACCACTGGATACAGTGCTACATCCCTGTAATCCCAGTGGCTCAGGAGGCTCAGACAGGAGGATGGCAAGTTCAAAGCCAGCCTTAGCAAGTTAGTGAGGCCCTAAGCAACTTAGTAAGATCCTGTCTCAAAACAAAGCGCTTCGGGGATGGGGGGCCCTGGGGGGGGGGAATGCTCAGTGGTTAAGCATCCCTGGGTTCAATCCCTGTAATAAAACTAAAAAACAAAAACAGCAGCACCCAGGTGAGGAGGGCAAGAGCCATCCTAGAGCGTGGGGCTGGCTCTCTCCCTGCCCGCCGGCGGGCACCGGGCCTGATGTTTACCCGTCCCTCTGTGAACACCATCAGCTGGATTCATAAACAGGCAGAGCTCAGAATCTGAGTGGCCGGTGCCTGGAGGGAACTGGGTAGTGGATCCGGCTCACAGGGTCCACTGATGGGTGTCTGGGGATTCTGGGCATGGCGGGCACTGGCAGGGCCCTGACCCATTTCGCCCAGACTGTGGAGAGGTGGGAGTTACTCATTAAGCCAGGCGTGGAGAAGCTGGGTCAGATGAGCCAGGGTGAACTGAGCTATCCTGAAATCAAGTGAGGTGCCCATGAAGGGTCCCCAGCCGCTGGACACCAGGGGCTGTGGATGGATAGACCTGGGGACCTGGGTGACATCAACCCCAGGTCCTAAGGGCCAGGCAGCAGGAGCCTCAGTCTCCCTGGCTGTAAAATGGAATTTGTAGCCTCATGCAGGTGTAGCTCTGTGGGTGGCRAAGGGGCTGGAGCTGGTCAGAGTGAAACTCAGGGAGCCCCCGAGGCTGACCGCACACACTACCCTGGTCAGTGTTGCCTCTGTTGACCCTCCCTAGAACCCTGAAGGCTACAGGAGAGGAAACCGTCTCCGAGAAGAAGGACTTGCCCAAAGTCCAGGGTCAGAGCCCACACTTTGGCTCAACCAGGACTGGAGCGTCAGCTCTGAGGGATGCATGGAGTCGAGTGTGTGGCCTCCCGGACGCCCTGGATGCCCTCTCCGCATCTCTAATGTGCACTGCATTCCGCGGCGCCCAGTGATATTCCGCCCACAGCCTCGGCGTTAATCATTGAGCGGGCAATGTCTGCAGACCCCGCTCCCCTGTCGAGGGTCAGGAGGGGACCACACTGCTTGGCAGGTGTGTGACCCTGAGACCACGCTGCCCCAGGAGCCCCAGCACGGATGGACGGTTCCCCGTCCTTGAGTCTGAATCCAAGGTCAACTTCAAGCGCTGGTGCCTGTGACAAAGTACTGACCCCTCGGGAACATCCCCAGAATTCCTGCCTGTCACCTTGGCAGATGTAGTGCTGGGTCTTGGTGAGTCTGGGTGAAAACAGGGACTTGGCCAGGACAGGAAGGGACCTTTGGGCAGGCCCATCACCTGGTCCTGAGGCCCTAGGTGTCCAGGGAGAAGAGGGGAAGAAGAGAGTCTGATGACCAGTGGCCGAGGCCGCACAGGGAAGAGAAGGCCAGGCAGGAGACAGGAACTGGGGCAGCAACCCCCACTGCATGACCTGAGGTATGACCCTAGCAATCGATCCCCACCATGTGATCCCCAATTGGGTGACACCCCTGCCACCTGCCTGATGATTCTTTCATGCCCCCTTCTTGCAGGGCACAGCCTCTGTCCTTCAGCGCCGGTCCCCCAGTGAGGAGTACGTGGAGGTGGGGCGCCTTGGGCCCTCTGACTACTTTGGTGAGTTGGGGTCCCTCCCTCATAGGCCACCACACCTCATCAGGAGTCCTGGGTTGGGAACTGCATGGGCACAGGCAAATCAGGCTGAGCCTCCGTGCTGCTGTGACAGGCCTCAGACTGAGGTCCCTGGCCATGATTAACCAGTCCTGGGTAAGGGCTGCCCCCAGAGAGCCATGACCTTGTCAAGGGCAGGGCGTGGGTAAGAGCTGCAGGGAACACCAGCTTCCAGCTTCCTGCAGCTCTGTGTTGGGGAGGTCCTGAGGGAGGTCCAACCTCACCTGGGCACTCCTGGGCACTCCCTCAGTTGGGGGCTGGATCATGGGGGAGACTGGGACATATACCACAGCGCCTGCTGCATGTGGTATTGCTCAACAAATTGCAGGACAATGTCTAGCTAAATTTGGATTTCAGATGAACAATGAATATTTTGCTAGTTTATATAAATATATCCCACTGGGCCACATCTGTGATCCCAGAGATTCGGGAGGCTGAGATAGGAGGATCACAAGTTTGAGGCCAGCCTTAGCCACTTGGCAAGACCCTGTCTCAAAATAAAAGATAATAAAAAGTGCTGGGGATGTGGCTTAGTGATAGAGCACCCTATCCTCAACAGCAAAAAAAAAAAAAAAAGCCCCCAAATGATATGTGTATGTCTCCCAAATATTTCATGAGACATATTTACAACTAACAAACTTTCTTTTGTACATATTTGAAATTCAAATCCCATGGCACCTGGCAGTGGTGCTTCTCTGGCTCTGGTCCTGAAGGAGAGGGCCCTGGTGTGGGGCCCTCAACCTGACCACTCTCTCCTTCCTCTAGGGGAGATCGCGCTGCTGCTGAACCGGCCTCGTGCGGCCACCGTGGTGGCCCGGGGGCCCCTCAAGTGTGTCAAGCTGGACCGGCCCCGCTTTGAGCGCGTGCTGGGCCCTTGCTCTGAGATTCTCAAGAGAAACATCCAGCGTTACAACAGCTTCATCTCCCTCACCGTCTGAGCCGCGCCAGGCCGCAGCGCTCCCCGTGTGCCTGCAGTCCCTGCTCCCCGTGTCTGGGGCCTGGGAGTCATGGGGAGGTAGCAGGGTGAGGCTGGCATCCCTGCAGGGGACCTCCCCTTCCTCTGGACTCGTTTTTTGGAATAAATGACCACCTTGTGCATATCAGAAACAAAGGGCAAGCAAACCTCCCAAGACCCAGGAGTGACAGGCCAGCTYCCCTCCCCCACCCTTCCTCCTGTCCACCCCTTGTCTTAGGGGACCCACCTGACCCTCTTCACATCATCTGGGCTGTGCTTGTCCGGTCCCCAGACCCAGGGGCAGACAGGCTGTGGAGACCAAGTCAGCCCTGAGTCCTGCCCCCAGAACCACAGGGTGCCACCCTGGGGCCCTGCAGACCCCGAGAGGCCAGGCTTGTCAGGCCTAGGCCCAAGTGGGGGACAGATCGTGTAGATGGGGTGTTCCCTGAAGACGCTGATGATGGGGCAGAAGTTGAGGCCCATTCCCACAGGGGCCCAGAGGAAGCCAGGGACCCCTTCTCCTATCTTGGGGGCCAGTCCACGGGCCTCAGACAGATCCACAGGTCACTCTGTGCTGAGAGCATTGGGAGGAGCCAGCTTGAGCCTGGTGGCTTGTCCTCTCACTAGCTGGTGTCCAGAATGGGCAGACTCCACAGCTGAGTTTGGGAATGTCCAAGATCTGGTGAGCACTGTGCTGGGTCCTTTGCTCTTTGGAGTTGGGGAGCCAAACAGTGTGGGGCCACTTCTCTGCCAAGGGCCTCTGGGAGACGTGGAGGGAGGGTGAGCTTTCAGAGACATCTGGGTAGAGTTCAAGGAATCAGAGGCYCTCGGAGCTATTCCCCACAGATTTGCCTGTATCCAGCCTGAGTCCCAGCCCCATGTCCCCTGTCCATTCCCCTGATGAGAGGGAATGTGTTCAGTCAACCCAGCGCGGGTCCCACACCCCTAAACCATCCACCAGCTTGTCTCTTAAACGTGTCCCCGGTGCCGTGATGATACGGAGCTGAGGGAGCGCTCAGTCCGTTGAAATGATGTGACCCACTCGATGTTGCCCTGCAGTGTCCTGGGGAGGTGCCCTCCCCGCTGGCCACCAGCGCCCCCTGCGCCCTGGCCATGCCCGTCCTGCCTGTGCTGTGGGCTCTGTGGACTTGTGTGCCCTCCTGCTCACCTTGCTGAGTGCTGCATGAACTATTAAACGTGCAATGAGGTACCTCTTCCTGACTCCGGGGGTCTCTGTCTGGACTCTTTTGTAAACAAGGGTCTTTTTCTTTCTTTCTTTTATTGTGGTAATATACACACGACCCAGTGTATCTGCCAAACCACAGCCCGGTGGCATTGATTCCATTCACAGTGTTGGGCAGCCTCATCCTCGTGGCTGCCCAGAGGACCAGGTACAGATTTGTGAGTCACAAATTCCTTGGTTCTGGCTGGGCGTGGTGGCGCACGCCTGTAATCCCAGAGGCTCAGGAGGCTGAGGCAGGAGGATCACGGGTTCAAAGCCAGCCTCAGCAACGGTGAGGTGCTAAGCAACTCGGTGAGACCCTGTCTCTAAATAAAATGCAGAATAGCTCTGGGGAGGTGTCTCAGTGGTCGAGTGCCCCAGAGTTCAATCCCTAGTACCTGCCCCAGAAAACCCCCCCAAAACACAAATTCCTTGGTGCCCATCCTCCTTGACCCTTTTCTCAGGTCTGAGCCCCTCACACGCTGCCAAAAGTTGGGAGATGGCCCAGGTCCCCAGAAAGCAGGGACTCGGTGATGTCTTCTGAGGGTTCAGACACGCTTACTGCTGGCCTCTTGAAGCTCAGTACCTTGTTAAGGTCGTCCAGCCTGTGTTGGCTTTGCCCTTTGTGGGTCTTTCACATGGTGCTCTGTAGCCTCACATTTCCCATCTGTAAATGGGTATAAGGATCCATCAAAGCCCTATGGTGAAATGAGCTCATTTCTGGCAAGAAGAGGCTGGGTAGGACCCACTTGCATCTCTTGTGGGGATAATGACCTGGAATGGGGCCCCTCCAGACTGTGGAGAGCTCCAGCCTCACCTTCCCCAGCTCAGGGGAACCCAATGGAGCCTGGTGACTCACTATGACGTCAGGCCCTGGCTGCCACACTGGGGAGACAGGCAGCACCTCCGTGTGGGGCCTGGGGTGGGGAGTGAGTTTGTGTCTGGGGACCTGGGTCCTGCCTTCCCACGGCCACTGCATCCGGCCTCCAGGGCTCTGCTCTCTGATCCAGGCAGGGTCTCTAGGGCCTGCTAGGGCCTGCTGCCAGGAAGCCTGGGCTGACGCCCCTGACTGTGCTGACCTCTCTCATCCCCCCTCTTGCCTCCTGGGATATGACCAAATTAGGAAGCTGCCCAGCCCCACCTCCAATTCACCAAAGGATTTCCCTCCTTCCAGAGTAGTCTAGTCTGGTTCTAACTTGCATCCCAAGGGCAGGGATACTTAGACTCTCCATCTGGGCCCTGAGACCTGAGGCCCCTGGCATTCTTTGGGGCCACCAAAGTCCTCAGAAACTTTCCTTAACAAAGTCAGATCTTGCGTATAGAGTGGGTTTCCAAATCCACATCGAAGACTTTTATTTGGTCGGGCAGAAGGTCACTGGATTGGTCTCCTCCTAGGACCCCCCCCAACATTGGCCACAGTAGGGGGTCTGCTCTAGGGCAGGCCTCTGAGTATCCGACTTCCCTCCAGGACAGAGCCCAGCATCATCCCACTAGAGACTTCCCTATGGTTTGGACAATCAGTCCCCTCACCAACCTCCTGGGCCAAACATTTGTTGGAGAAATGAGGCTGGGGTATTTCAGGAACATGCTTGGCCAGGAGCCTAGTGATTGCTGAGCTCCCTGCAGCTGACGTGTGATGTGTGGGCTGGAGGGCAGTTGTGCCTCAAACTCTGATCAAGTTCTTGTTAGTTGTGTGGCATCAGACAGTATCCTTAACTTTTCTGAGCTTCAACTGTCTCATCTCTGAAGTGGGAATATTTGCCTCCTGGGTTAGACTTTAGCTTGAAATGAGACGGTTACAGGAAGTTGCAGATGAACCCCAAAGGCTCAGAACTGTTGCTACCTGCAATATCCAACTATATCACACAGAAGGACAACAGCCATGTCCTGGTGTCACCTGGACAGGTAAGCTATGGAGCTCGTGCCTCCTGGTGCTGTGGCTCCAAGAGGGTCACCCTCACCTGCCTGTCCCTGCCATGGCACAGGCCTGGCTGCTGCCCTCTGGCTCCACCTCCAAGCCAGTTGTTGCCCTATTTTCCACGGCCAGCCTCCTCCTCTGCATTCAGCCACAGGTCCCCCCATTCTGGTCCCAGTGAGGGACACCTGTTGCTGCTCAGCGACCTGTTTGCAGAGGTGGTAATCTCCCAGCAGGAGCCACCTGTCCTCAGTACGGCTGCAATCACCAAGTGTGTCACCTGGTGACCTCATGATCTTAAAAACACCACTGAATTATTTAATGGATTCTGCAGCTTCGAGACAGGGCGTGTCTGTTCCACAAAGCCGGGGGACACCTGGAGTTGGAGTGCCACAACCTCACTGGTCAGGCTCCCATGTGCTAAGTTTCCCGGGAGAGGTTGGTCCCAGCCAAGCGGGTGGAGGCTGGGAGCCCTCTCAGCCCAGTCTCAGTTRCGCAATGTGGACCAGGCAGCCTCCCAGGCTGCAGATATCTTTATAGGGAGTGGGGCATGGTAGGTGGGATACTGGGGTCCTGGTCCTGGGGCCTCCTTCCCCTTGCTCAGGGGAGCACCAGGAAAGGGCTGCCCAGTTCCGGCCGCTTCCCCCAGCAGGGGCCATGAGGCCCTTCAAGAGATCTCAGAAGTCTGTCTGTGTCCCAGCCATGATGTCACCGGAGCCCATGTGATGCCAGTGTCAGCCAGGCGTTGAGTGTCCTAGGAAGGTACCCTGATATCACCCAGGAAGTGAGACTGCCACTGACTGCCCAGTCCACTCACCCACTCATTCACTCAATCACCCAGCCCAGGGGGAGGGGTTCCAGGGTGGCCCCCTCTCCTTTCCCCACATCTTCTCCAGATCAGCAGTGGCTTCACCTGCAGAATCCATGCCGGCTTGTGTCAAGGCCCTGTGGCACCAAATCCACCCAGCAGCCCTGTGGGGACCAATTACAAATAAGAATGCTGAGGTCTGAGCAGGGAAGTTACCTGCCAGGCCACCCAGCAGAGAAGCCTCGGGAAGTCGGGCCTGGGCCTTCCCCGCTGGCCTGGGCCTGCCCTCGCCATCTCTGCCAGTCCTCGTGCTGTAAATTCTGTTTATGGTCCTGGTCACCACCCCACTGAACTGGCCAGGTTCCTCCTCAGCGGGAAGCCACGCCTCTCTGGGAGTCCCCTGGGAATACCCAAGGGAGGAGGAAACCCTGTGTGGGCCGGGCAGGGGCTCGGCTCCCTCCACCCTGCCCGTCCACCCTGCCGTGAAGTCCTGTCCTCTTGGCCGCTGGCTGCACCTCTTCCTCTGGGTTGTGGGGAGTGTTAGAAATGGACAAGGGACTTCCTTGGGGCACCTCCGTGGAGAGCTGGTGCAGTCCCTGGAGCTCCCCAAGCCCTTCCTTGTGGGGCGGGGCGGGCAGGTCTGAGAAGCTGATGGGCAGCAGCCTTTTCCCCTTTACGGCGGGCAGCAAGATCATAGTGCTGATGTGCCTGGGGCTGGGCAAGCCTGACCAGGGGCGTCCAGGGGGTAAAAAGGAGGCCAAGATTGTGCTTGAGGGTCCCAAGGTCAGGTGTGTGGGGGTCCTCTCCGCCCCAGCTGGGAGCTCTTCCACCTGCGGAGACCTCTGCCCTGAGCCAGGTGGTGGTGAGCCGGGGCTGACCTCACCTGAAGTCCTGGGACTGCTCCTGAGACTGGGAAGGGCCGGCTGCAGAGGGAGGGGGCGGTCCTCGCTCGGACTCTGGCCTGCTGAGCTGCCAAGGGCCACTCCCAGCCGTCCAACTCTCAGAGGAGGCCACAGCCAAGGAAAGAGAGACTTGGGGGCCTGGCCGAGCAGGAGGGGCTGGGGAGCCTCGGACTCACCTGTGTGTGTGTGTAGGGGGGGAGCTTCCAGTGCCAGAGATGGAGCAGCAGTCCAAGCTGCCCCCTCCTCCAGGGAGGCCACCAGAAAGCAGGAGGCGGTCAACAAGAGAGTCCTGGATGGGCTGGTGCTGGCCTAGAACCCCAGCTACTCGGGAAGCTGAGGCAGGAGGATTGCAAGTTCAAGGCCAGCTGAGACAACTTAGACCCTGTTCCAATAGAACAAGGGCTGGAGGGGCAGCTCAGTGGTAGAGAGCTTTCCTCGCCTGCACAAGGTTCTAGCCCCAGCACCGGGGCTGGGGAGAGAACTTGAAGCTAGAGTGGGTCTTGGTCAGCCACTGATGGCCTTCAGACCCTGCCCCTGAGCTAGCCGGGCCTCTCCCCTGGTGTCTGCTGCAGTGGCCGCCTTCCCTGGACCCGGTGGTGGTGAGAGGGAATCTGAGGGTTTGGGGTGAGAGTTTCCAGGAAACCCTCCTCCCCTGTCCCCAAAGCCCTCCTCCCCCCTACCCGTGGGATGACAGGAGGTCCCAGGGCTCAGATTCTTGGGTCTGGCCTGGCTGGGTCAGGAAATGATGGGCATGGGGGGGGGAGGGGAGGAGGGGGAGGGCCGAGGAATTGAAAGTGCATTCCAGACTGGTGACGTGTGCCCCGTGGCCTGCAGGGCAGGGGAGGGGACGAAAATGGGCTGCCCTGTCGGGAAGGTCCCTGGGATGAGGTGGGTGGGGCTGCATCAGAAGGGAAGAAAAGATCCTTGCCCTGGGGACATCCCTGCCACCGGCTGCTGTCCTTCAGGGCTGAGGGCTGCCTCCGCCTGGAAGCCTTCTCAGGTTTCTTGGCCCTGGGTCCAGGGCTCCCTCCAGGCCACCTGGTGTAGGCCTGGGACAGGCCCTCTCGGGAAGATTCATCCTGCTCAGCGCCCACTTGCTAGGTCCCCAGCGCCCACGGCTGGCCTGGCTGGGTAGTCCACACTGGTGGCCTGGTCTGGAGGCTCCCGGGTGTATGGTGGGTTTCAGGGCTTCCTCTGGCCGGGGTAGGAGAGGGGAGGGAGGGCTGGGGTCTGCTGTGTTCAACTCCACAAGCTGGTTGGGGCCGACCCCTGCTAGGCGCTGTTCTAAAAGTGATCCCTGCCAATCGATCAATGGCTCACTCCTGGGCC